TGCTTTCGAGTAGTCACCCATGTTATTATACACTTGACCGATGTTGCCGTATGAAGTAGCCAAATCAGGATGATTCGAAGGCAGAGCTTTTTCTCTTATTTTAAGTGCTTTTTCGTAAAATTCAAGTGCTTTCAAGTAGTCACCCATGTTCTTATACACTTGACCGATTTTGCTGTATGAAGTAGCCAAATCAGGATGATTCGAAGGCAGAGCTTTTTTTGTGATTTCTAGATCTTTTTCGTAAAATTCAAGTGCTTTCGAGTAGTCACCCATGCTATTATACACTAGGCCGATGTTGCTGTAGTAAGGAGCTAAAGAAAGATGATCTTCTGGAAGAGTTTTCCGCTTGATTTTCAGAGATTTTTCGTAAAATGCAACTGCTGCTTCGTATTGTCCTTGGCTATATTTCATCACTCCAAGCTGGTGATAGATGTATGCTCTATCACTATCATCCGATGGCTGTTCTAGTAGTGCCAGATATAGTTCTTCAGCCTTGTCGAATTGACCTATTTTGAATAATAATTGCCCCATTCGACGCCATCCGGTGCCGCTGACCTCTTTTCGTATAAAATCAATTAATTCTCGAAGTTGTGGATCATCATCTGCCGTAAGTTGAAGATCGACTTGATAGAGTGCATGATTTTTGTCAATTTTTCGCACTTCACCAATGCGAAAGACGGTGTGCATGGAGAATAGAATTTCCTCTTCGTCCTTATAATAGCTCACCTCCTGGATGGAGGCGAATGGAGTTGATGATACTGTAGGATCAATGGTTATTTGGAATAGAATTCCAACCATATCAGTCATTTTCAAGGCTTCTTTGGCGAAAACAAGGGAGACATCTGAATTTGTGCTGGTAGATAAAAAGTTGTTAAAAGAAATAAGCCCACCTTTGTTTTCTGTGAGCTTTTCAAAGTCGGCTTTCGATAGGCCTTGCCCTCGAAAGATTGTAAAAACCTTGTTATGGTATTGACTGACCTGCTTCTTGTACAGAGCTTCGATTTGTCGATGCACATCACATAAAAAGAAACCCATTCGTATCATAATGTCGCCGTTCAGTGTTCTTAATGCACCATTCAACATTTTGTAGGTAAAACATTGGCGTGTATACCACCAAATGGCGTTGGATGCTTGATAAGTACGTTGAAATTCTTGGATAATTTTCATTTCCTTCTTATTATCTTGGTATTCTTGTTGACAGTACGTGACCAAATCTTGGACGGCTTGTTGTTCATGTTCGATTTCAAGGAGTATTTCCTTGAATATTTGTGAATACATAAAAGAAGGTTCTAGCTGATCTAGATTCTTGCTAGAACCTCCTGCATTCACACTAACAATGCTTACCGACATGTGATCTTGATTGCATTGTTTGATTGTTGTTGCCAATTTGTCACAAATATGTTTGATTGAGGTGTGAACACCTTTAATTTTCGGCCAATTTTGCGCCCATACTTGATGCCGTTGTTTATTGCCACAAAATATGAAAATGGCATTTAATTTTGCCATATCATGAATATCTGGTACCAGGTGTTGGCCAAGAGCACCTGAGGAGATAACAAATGAGATCTCCTCTTGATTTTCTGTAAGCTGTTGTATACATTGTTCCGCTGTCTCACATGGCTTGACTTGATTGACGACAGCACGTAATTGTTCCATTGTATTTTGGCAATCTTGATTTGCCATGTCGATATTTCCATCGACCCATATGACCAAATAATTTTCAGCCATACGGTGTCTTTGATATCGAGTCATTTTTGATGCCATTTTTGCTGCTTGATTAGTAAATAGATTGTTGTTTGAATAGATATTACTTTTGCTATTTATGCGTTGGATGTTGACTGTTTTTTTTCGTTGAAACTCAAGGTCAAACTTCACCTGGATGTTATCAAAAGTATCGTTGTCAGCAACAAAAGGTAGAGAAAAAAAACCCAGCAATATCATTTATTTTATGGTTATTCTTTCCAACTTTCGTTTTCTTATCATCTATATAGTTAATAGTCACTTGAAAGTCAGTGCGTTGGATGTCTTATCTCATTCAGTTTTTATTTGTCTTCTAGCATCTCGAAACAAATGAAGACATTGTCAGTTTTATTTTTATTTTTTATTATGCATAAGACTTACTTTCTGATAATGTGACCAAAAAAAAATGAAGAATAAATTCAATATTGTTACAAACAACAATAGAACAACAGTTTCTGCTTGCTCCCCCAATATACTGTTCATCATTCACGAGTTGTTCAAGTAAAATAATAATAGTTCGAATATAATTGAGTATTGAAGTACTTATTATGAATTCAATGAAAGTACTAAAATATATAGATATTTTGAGATTTTTACGTCATATGTATTGAGAAATAAGTTTTTTCTGAGTATAATAAATATTTTGTTAATATAAAAGAAATTTTTGATCTTTCTAATCACGATTTTCAAATATTTAACTGTTGATGGAAAGGACAGTACAAAGAAAAAGAAATCTTACTTGGAAATGAATTGCTATGTGATTACAATTATTCAGTTCATTTTTACAGTGTATTACAATGAATTATTTTAGGTTTTTATTAATTACATATGATTCATATTTATCATGATATTAGTTACATTTATAATGTCATTATTTTCATCTCTTTTGCATTTTTTGAAGTGTTCTTTCCATCGATACTTACCTGATTTAAAAGTGGTCGTTAGAAAGACAGAAAATTCCCTTTATATAAACAAAACATTCATTATACTCAGAAAAATATTTATCTATATATTTAGGAATGAAATCCGTGCAAGCTTTTATTGATTTGCTATTAGAATATTTTAAAAATTGTCTACTTGCAGTTATGAACTTTACTCGTGTCACATACTGCTACACAGTTTCAATTCTAATTCAAATCAATTCTTAAAATAAAATTAACCGTTGGTTTTTTTTTCTATTGCGATAGAACAGTTATTATTTGAATGAAAATAGTTTTATTTCTGGATACTGATGCCATATGTGATAATGAAAGTTGCATTTTATTTCCAAGTAGTATTAGACAAGTACTACTATATTCCCGTTTTTTCAGTGTGTGAAATGTAATCATGACCATATCTCAGTAAGACTGACAGAATGAATTTATCATCACTCATAAGCTTGTTAATATGTTTTTTGATTTATATTAAACTCATTTGGAATATATATGGTATAATAAAAAGACATCTTGTTCCACTGATATCCAAGATTCATAAAAAACTAATATTCAAATTGTGTTTATCCACATGTGAGATTCGTACAATTTTAATGTGCATCGCAGTGACAATGAGAAAATTTCTGTCATGTGTGTTAAAAGAACGTTAGAATCTATGTACGAAGTATGATTAGTATAATGTTAAAAAGATCATTAAAATCGAACAACTGTTCAAAAATTTCTTATTTTCACCGTAAGAAAGCATCTGAGTGATATCAATGAGAATGACTATTTCAAAAACCTTCGTTTCGAAAAAACAAACACAAAACAATATGAAATATTTTCTATCATCGATAAATTTGACATCTGGCATTTGGCTCAGTCAAAATACTAAAATAAAATGTATCGTACTGTAGTAAAATTTAGTCCAAAAAACATGTTGAAAAATAAATCAATGATCGAAATTGGATCACTTTGATATGGCTGAATCTTATCGAAAAAATAGTAATTCGATTTCCTACAACAACAAAAAATATTTAACATGTCAAAGTGTAAATATTCGATATGTCTTTTATTAGTGTGAATGTATACTGTTTGTGATTATATCGTATGAAAAAAAACTGTTGATTCATTTTTATACAAAAAAAGTCTTTCGAACACATGTTGATAGGTACCAATAAAATTTACTTTTTCTGATTTGGATGTAGATATTCTCTTCATTCACACCACACCCTATTGTCCAGATTTAATGGTATGCGACATGAATCATATCCTTATGTAAAGAAAAGCAAGAAATAATTGTTTCTCATATATTCACATTCTATTCAGCAGAGAACTAAAACAGCTTAATTTTTCATATACAGATCAGTTGAATATATAAGCAAATAAATCAAGTATTTTCCATGAAAACATTCTATAACTTAATCTTTCTGAGGACATCAAACATAGCTAAATCTCGTTGTATACAGTACAAAATGCATTATAAGGTTTTATACTATTAGCCAAAGGTTGCTGATATCGACAAAATATGTAATATAAAATAGAATTTTATAAGAAAGTACAGACAATTTCGCTGATAACAAGTCTCTTCTTTTTGTAAACTTTGTCGTTTTTCAAACTTTAAGATTTTATTAATAAAATCTTGATCAAAATAGATTACAAATCATCCTAACAATAAGTCGATCTAACTCAGAATTTAGCGAATTTTATCGTAATGATAAAGTGAAGAAGACTTAAAATAATAACCATCTACATTAGTCGTACTAAAAATTAATTCGTATTTTTTTATTTTTATTTTATTTGACATGATTTATTAGTTTTGTTAATCCCCAGTAAGATTTTGTATCAAAGAAAGAATTTAAAACACAAAGCACTCAGTTGCTAAGAAAAAACAATAATAAAAAAAACTAAAAACAAACATTCATCAGCTATTATCCAGTATGAAGAAAGAAAAAAAAAGCTTTTATTTTTTCTTTTCTTTATAATTTCTCTGATGAATGATGATCATGAATAGTTTTTATTCTTGTATGATCACCATAAGAATTTGTCATATGTTGTTTAAGCATTTTTTCACTTTGATATTTAGAAAAAGCTTGTAATAATTCTGGACAATTTTGTTTTGCTGCTATATCAATAAAACTTTCATTTTTATCATTTAACCAAGATGCATCACCTCCATGTCTTTTATCAAAAAAAAAATTAAATTTTATTATTTTCTTATTTAATTTCTAATTAAAAAATATAAACTTACTTGAGAAGAATTCTTAATGGTTCAGCACCATCAAATCCTAATAAACAACATTCATGTAATGCTGTATTACCTCGTCTACAAAACAAAACAAAATCAATAGTTTATCTAATTTCTGAACATTTCGAATATTAATGAACAAAAAAAGAAAAAGTACACAGTCAATCTTTGATTTCAATTGATATTAAAATCTCGATATATATATAGAACTTATGGTCCTTTTTTATCTAATTTAGCTTTTCCATCTATAATAAGTGTTTCTAAACATTCATAATATCCATTACGTATAGCCAATTGTAGAATTGTATAACCTTCTTTATTTTTAATATTAACATCAGCTTTTTCTTTTCTTAAACGTTGAACTTCTTTTAATATATCGATTTGATGTGATGATTTTTTATTATAATTATTATTTTTTTTTTCAAATAATCGAATTAAGGCCTCCCCCCCCCCCCCCCCTCAAAAATCGATCTCAGCTCAGGAACGTTCAAATGGGCTGAAATTTGGAGCATATGTTGGGGCTGAAGTGAGGAGGCTGTAGTAAAATTTTCAGCTCGATTTACTGACATTTGACAGAGATATGAGCCAAACAAGGGTCAAAAATAGCATATTTGGCAAGCAAGATTTCTCTGTCCGAGCTCTTTCAATATTTTTAAATCTTTTTTTGTTTGAAAGAGTATCTCAAGATGCAGGGCACCAAAGAGTTCTTTTTTTTAAATACTTACTTTTCAAGCGAAAAAAGGGCATCACAAGTTCAATGACTCCCAAAGATCACAAAAAATGGCTATTTTTCTATAGACATGTTTTCTTATACAATAATAAAAAGGCTTATTTCAAAAAAAGGACCCTTTGGTGCCCTGCATCTGAACATGCTCTTTCAAACAAAAAAAAAATTTAAATATATTGAACGCCACTGGACCGAGAAATCTTGCAACTAAAATCAAAAAATCATAAATCGAGAAAAAATGAAAAACATTTTGTGATTTTTCGAAAAACCGCTGGTTTTTCGAATAGAGGGTCTCGAAAAACTTGAAAAGTTTTTGGAAAAAATGAGGTATCGAGGAAAACTTTTTATCGTTTATGAAAGAGCAGATAACAGGCTATCTCCCCATGCATTTATCTCAATTCCGAAAATTTTGGCGAAAATTGACTTTTTTTGAGGGGGGGGGGAGGCCTTAATGCATGAGTTGACTATTAATTATAATAGATAATTTAATAAGACAAAAATAAATTATAATAAAATATTTTATTCTTACACTCAATATTTTCTGTAATTTCTCTTGAATATTCATCTATGTAAAAAACAAAGTTTTTTTTTGCAAAGAATACTTTTCCCTACTATCAAAATAAATTGTATTTGAATATGGTGAATTTCGTTCACTATTTATTGGATAATATTCATTTGTTTCATTAATAAAAAATGGTGATTGTGAAAGATTTTCTGGTTTACGAAATACTGTTTGTATAGTTACTTGATATTCATTTTCATGTACAGTTGCATGAATCATATTACCCATACGTGGTTCACCTAAAAAAAATAATTAAATAATATATAAACTTTTTTAATATTAATATATAAGATATATATATAGAGAGAGAGAATTTATATTTTAAATAATAATTATTATTCATTATAACAAAATAAAAGTATTTGTTTTTTTTAAATATTAAAGATATCTTTACCAATCAATGATTGAAAATCTGGTCGATAACTGCATAAGTTTTTAAATGAGCACAAATATGATCTAATTGTTGTCGCCAATATCCTTTTACTGGACTTATAGATGTTAATATTGGACGATATTCTTTTAATTCTTTTTCATTTAATAATCTTTTATTTTGTGTTATAATTAAATCAATATCTTTTGCACTTGGATAATAAATTCCATATATTTGTGTTGCAACTTCTTTTCTAATTGTTGAATATGATTGATGATAATTAGTCAATGTTGTATTTGCATTAAGCCATACAGGATTAACTGAATTATGTGTTAATGTCTATAGAAAACAAGAATCTTTTTTTTTGTTTTCTTTTTATTCTTTAATTTTAATATACACTAGCAATCATCGATGAAGATGAAATATTCAAATCGTTTTTAAGACGTGTATCAATAATACGTAATGGTGGTTTAATAACACATCCACATGTTGAACAAAATTTTGCAAATGAATCATTATTAGTATGACATTTTGTACATTGTATTGATGTAGATGCATGATCAGGATATGCACTACACCAATCACAAAAACGAGCATTAGGATTATTTAAACGAAAACATTTTGAACATGTTATCATCATTGTATTAGTTTGTTTTGATATTGTTGGAATTGAAATTGAAGTTCGTTTTTCCTCTTGAAATATAAATACGGAAAAAATAAATAAGATTTTTTTTTGTTTACTGGTGATGTCGATGTTGGTATTAATACATTTTCACAAATATAACATGTTCGTAAATGTATTGGATTTGTTGATTTACAATGAGGACATAGAATTCTTGTCTAGAGAGGAACATTAAAATTTGATTAATTTTTTTGAAACCTGATTTTGAGAAGTTGGTCGCTGTTGTGGTTCTTTGGATACTGGTGTTTCACATACAACACATGTGTTAGAATTAAATGGAATAGTAGATTTACAATTTGTACATATATTAGTCTAATTAAAGAAAAATTATCCGTGTAAAATAAGATAACTACGATTCATTTGTAAAGTAATCAATACTGTTATGTAGAACAATACATGATCCGTCGAAGGATATACTCTTTATCAAATTTTACAGTTCTGAAAAGTCATATACCTCCCCCCCAAATTAAGGAAATATAACCGATTTTCTAATGTTTTTTTGCGAAATCCTTCCTTTCCTATCATAATTAGTACAGTTTTTACAAAAAATGGTAGTTTTTTCAGCAAAAAACAATAATTAAAGTTATTAATTAATTATTCATTTTTTAAATGATCTTAATTAAAAACTGACCAAAAGTTGACCCCCAATAGAAGGCCATCCAAAAAATAGCGATGTGCCAAGACCCTGTATAAGGGCATGCACTTTTATTCTGGGGGGAGGGTTACTAGTTAACAGGTATTATAGCAATGATGGCTGTTGTAAGATATGACTGTCGAGGACAAAGGCAACCAACCATGCAACTTTTCCCGAGTTCTATAAGTATGATTCCTGAGAATAGAAAAATATATGAATTTTCTTTTTGTTTTTAGGCTTCAAAACATCGAATGTGATTCGGATATGTAGTTCTATCACATTCAACATATGTTCGGGTTTCTTATAAGAATTAATAGTTTTACCAAGATTCTGAAAGAGAAAAACGTTTTTTTTTTACTATTTTCGAAAGATTCATATATATATGTCAGATATAGGTTATTTTTGAGATCATATTACTCATCATTGCTCTTATATATCTTAACTGGTATAATGACTTTTATGAAAAAATAATTTCGTAAATAACTATGAGTTGTTCAACAGAATGGGATTAGGTAGTTTCTTTTTTTCAAATGAAGGGTAGTCATCATATCCGATAGAAATATTTTGAATTACTGAATAATTATCCGGTGGATTATGAGTTAGTTTTTGCCAAGATAGACCACATTCCGTACAAAATCGTGTATATAAATCATTTGATTTAGGTGCAAAACAGTGTGCACATCTAGAAAAGAAAAAACAAAGCTCAAATAATAAAATAATTTTGTTTCGATAAACCTTAAAACATTTGTTTGTATTTGAGAATTTGAATATGTATAATTAGTTGGATTTTCTTGTACTAATGAATCAATTGTTGAACGACGCATTGATTCTATATAGAAATTTGATTAATAATAAATAAAATTACTTTTTTTTTTTTGATACCAGATAATTTTTGTTGCATTTGTTCATTTTCATTTTGCATCTTTCTCATTAATTCCTATTGAAGTAAAATTATAAAATCAATTAATAAATATTTAACTGAATTAAATATGTAGAAAAAAGTTCGATTGCTTTACTAATTGTATGTTTACAAATTGTTGTTTCGATATATTCTTATCGGCGAAATGAAAAATATTTTGCAATAAATTATTTTCGTTAACATCTATCTCTATGTAAAGTTTCAAATCGAAATTTAAAAACTAAAATTGAAGATGTGTCAATGACTTTGATAAGTTTTGAACTTCATAGAAAAAAAAACATTTTAATGAAGAAATATCGATAGACAAGCATTATAAATTACTACTATTATATTAGTGATCTTCTAACTGAACTCTTGAGATATCGAGACATTCTTGAATATCAATTTTTTTAAATAAAATTAAAGATAAATATTTTTGCAAACTAAAATATGTTTATATTGAAAAATTTAATATTTAATTAAACTTTAACATCTTGATTAATCATTCATAATGACACATAAACTTGCTCGTATATCCAACAGATTATTTTATTTTCGTAATATTTTATGAAAAATTCAATGTATTCAGATATGTTTTCTATAAAAATCGAGTTCATAGTTTTTTTTAATGAAATCTCATCTTTTTCTAAAATATGCTTTTTCAAATTACTTAAATAAATACTAAAAATAATATATCTTTCACTTGATTCAAATTCATTGTACATTTCATATAAAAATAGGTATGATTTCATAATAAAAAAAAAAGTATTCTATACAGTATTTCAATAAACATGAGATAAGTAAATTTCTATTGAATTTATTTATTATCTATCGTTTTGAAATTTTTTACCTTTCGTTCTTGTTGTAATTCATATAAATATCGATTTTCATATTCATCCGATAATGAATGATCTGATGGAATAATTTTAACATCAAATATTTTTGTTACTATAACACTTTCTCGAATTCCATCACTAAATAAATTTTAATAAAAAAAATAAAAATTCTTCAAACTGATTTTTTTGTTTTCTCAAATATCTTTACCGTGATGCCTGTATTAGCTATATCTCTTGGTATATAAAATGGTTTTTTATATTGTATAGTCGAACGTCGTGTTGCTAATGTTATAAATGCATCTGATTTTGAACCATCTAATGTATAATAAATATCAACATCATTTGTATCACTACGTATTTCAATCAATGTATTTGTATCAATGGAAGATTTTTGTGTATATCCAACACGTAATGGAATTATTGACAGAGCAGATATTGAACCAGCAGTCGTTTTGTTTAACAATTCAAAAAGTAATTAAATTGACATGATGAAACCATATCAAACTTTTTTACATCAAACGGTTGTCTATCATTTTGAAATTTTTCATTACGAAGTTGTACTTCATGTCTTTCATGTTCTGCTTGTTCTCTATAATAATAATAATAATAATAATAATCAAAATTTCTTTAATCTTGTTCTTTTTGTTTTTGGGATTCTAAATAAAGACTTACAAACGAACTTTAATTATATTTAATTTATCTTTATATTTTGATGTTACATTAAGAACATTTTGTGAAAGATATTCAAATTGAGCATTAATTTCAGACTAGAACAAAAAGCAAATGACAATAAAAAATTATTTTAATCTATATATAAATAATTATGTTGGATTCATCGTCTCAGTCTAGAGGAGTATTATATATAGGATAAAAGAAAAAAAAATAAGTGCAGAAAAATGTGCTTATGGAAATATTTTATTTAAAAGATTTAATAGTGAATAGAAAAACACAAAGAGAAAAAAAAGGAGAAGCAATAATAAATCATATGTATTAATACCAATTTTTTCCGTAGCTGAACTAGTCGAATCATAGAATAATATGTACGCGATATGTAAGAGAATGAAATTATTATTATTATTATTATTATTTTTTGTATTTTTTTTCTTTACCTTTTCTTTTTCTAATTGTTCACAACGACGTGATGTTTCTTCAAGTACAATTTGTACATGTTCTAATTGATGTGTAGCTATACGAATACGTTCACATACATCATCAAATTTTATTTTTAAAGATTTATAATCATTTTCAAATTCATCTGCACGTCGTCGTTCTTTTTCCAAATCAACATTTAAATTTGGCTCAATCTATATTTATTAATTAATATATTAATTAAAACAAATAAAATTTTAAACAAAAAAAATAATTTGTTCTTGACAGAAAATAAATCATGTCTATATATATATATATATATGATAAAATTTTCTCATTATGACATGAATAATAACATACAATTTCCATAATGTGAGTAACATAAATGATACTATGATAAACAATATTGACTAATTAGATAAAAAAAAAACAATTTTACATAACAACAACAGTATTTGATATAACATCTTGTCAATATTTTTTATATTAATAGCTTATGACATTAAATCATGTCAACACGAACTGATTTACCTTTGATTAAAAAAAAAAGAACGTGCAATTAATTAATTGTTAGAAAGACGAAAATAGAAACTGAGCACTTTTGAAGAGTTCTAATGGTACTCAAATTTGAGACGTTTTGCTTTAGGAATGTTTTCATTTTTTTGTTTATTAAATAATATTAAGTCGGTATTCATTGTAATGAATTGTGAGAATGATTTCACGTATGTCGGCGGCATTCAATATGATGGCGTCTTGCGCCATCGGCACTTTCAGGAGTTTTTTTTTCTTTTATTACAATATGGGAACCACTTATGATAAGAACTTTTTAGCAATAACATTTCCGATCAAAATGATTACCTTGACTTTTTTTTTTTACTTTAACTTTGATAAAAGAAATCTGTAAATGTAATCTTTGTGCGATTACATGATATAATTAGTGTTGCTAATAGAGATCTGCAAACTGGTCCCGTAATGTTTTCTGTTCCAGAACTAGACTACCTATTTCCATATTTATTATTCTGTTCTGACTAATGATCTACAAATAGGCCTTTTTTATTTATTTATGCCCAGGTCGAGAAGTACGAGTGGGTTCCGGCAGAAAAACACTGGAAGTTATTGGAACAGGGTGGCAGTATTCCGGCTGGACACTTCGGATTTTTTCAGTGACTTCCGATCAAATTCCTTCCGTTTTCTTCAGGAAGTTGTCCGGAAAAAATCCAAAACTTTTCCGGCCGGAATACTGCCACCCTGTTTCGGCGACTTTCAGTGTTTTCGTGCTGGATACGGTGAATTTTCCCGCATCTTTCCTACAGGATCCGGTGACCGGAATCTTCGACCTAGGATTGTTAATTTCTCAAAATCATCAATATTCATTTTATATATATTCAAAAAATCATACAGATTATAAGAAAAGTCGTTTTTTGTTTCTAGAAACAATAAAAAGTTTTAAATTGAAACCAGGACCAAAAAAAGAAAAGATGATTCCATCGACACCTAGTTGTTAATCATCAATGGATTGTTTTATTCGATCTATTTTAGGATATATTTTTACTTAGTTTCTATACAAATATAATAAGATATTTAAGTATTAAGAAAATTAATAATATTCATAAGTTAATATTTACTTCTTCTTTTTCATGTAATTGTTTTTGTGCATTATTTAATTCATATTTAAGTGTATTTGTATCACTGAATGACGTAAATGAATTACAAAATAATTCAAAAACACTGAATTACAAAATAATTCACTTTCTATTAGTTTCTACCAGGGTCTACCGGGGTCTACCAGGGTCTAGGGTCTACCAGGGTCTACCAGGGTCTAGGGTCCACCAGGGTCTACCAGAGTCTCGATGTGGGTGCTGCGAAACAACATACATCACATCTCTCTCGTTGTGGGTGCCGCGAAACGACTTACATCACGTCTCTCTCGATGTGGGTACCGCGAAACCCTGGTAGACCCTAGACCCTGGTAGACCCTAGACCCTGGTAGACCCTAGGCCCTGGTAGACTCTGGTAGACCCTAGTAGACCCTGGTAGACCCTAGACTCTGGTAGACCCTGGTAGACCCTAGGCCCTGGTAGACCCTGGTAGACTCTGGTAGACCCTGGTAGACCCTAGACCCTGGTAGACTCTGGTAGACCCTGGTAGACCCTAGACCCTGGTAGACCCTAGACCCTGGTAGATCCTAGACCCTGGTAGACCCCGGTAGACCCTGGTAGAAACTAATAGAAAGTGAATTATTTTGTAATTCAGTGTTTTTGAATTATTTTGTAATTCATTTACGTCATGGTCTCTTTAATTTAAGATTTTCCATATGAAATATAATTCCTTCATCTGAATTATCAAACTAAAAAATTATGAATATTTTAAATATCAATCCAAAAAAAAGAATGCAATTATACTGTTTGTTCAAATTGAATAGTTTTTTTCTCTGTAATTTCAAGTTCTTGACGAACAAGATCAATTTCACGTTCAAGTGAACGTTGTTGAATAATAGAAAATAATTTTGTTTGTTCAATATCTGATATATTTTGTGATTTTTCCATCTAATATATTTAAATTAAATTTTACTTTTTTGTTTTTGAATTTTTTATAATACATACTAAATATTTTAAAAGATCATTTTCTTCTTGTTGTGAAATAAATTTTAATTTAAATTCAAGTAATTTCATTTCTGTTTGTTGCATAGTTTCAAATACTAATTGATGTATAGATAAAGATGATAATGTTGTTGTTGTTGTTGTTTTTTGTTGATCCAATTTTTGATTAATATATGTTACAATATAATCAAGTTTAGAACGAAATGTTTCAATTTCATGTTGTAATTCAATATTTTGTTCTATAAATTTTTTTGATAATTCTTCAGCTTCTAATAAAATATAGAATTGAATTAATTAAGTATTTCTATTCTCTATGAAAAGTTTCAAAATACAAAAAAAGAATTAGTCTTTCTCATATTTAAGAAAATGATAAATTAATATTATTATATTTGTTAGAATATATCTGAGAATAAAAGTGAATGTTTTATCTCAAAAGTATGCAAGTCAACATATATTTATCAGTATTTTAGTATCATTAGAAGATAATAAGGATGAAGAAAAGATCTTCTATAAAGAATTTTTTACTATAATTTTGATATCAAATATCAATTTTTTTCTAGGAATGATAAATTTACATTTAAAAACAAAAAAAGAATTGCTAAAATTAGAAGTAACTTAATAGGAAAAAGGGAATTACGATATTGAATTACAAGCCTAACGTAAGAATGCAATATTCTCCGTTTAATAATGATCTTTAATTCTAACCGAGAATTTTTTTTTCTTCTGTTCTTATGTCCATCATTAAAACTATAGTTGGTGTATCTTTAGTGTTTAATTCATTGAAGGATTTCTTTCGTTAGTAAATGAACTTAAGTAATAACTGTCTCATTCGGTCTTATTGTTTAACCTCAGACGAATCCGTACAACTAATTATAATAATAGTTGAGAAGTTCGATATACGATAGTTTTTATTAAAGATATATCTTCTTTGTTATTCGATAAACAACAATAAAAAGTATACAATAGAAGAAACCATCAACTACGACATCATTATTATTACATGTAACTAATGTCCATTTCAGAGTTACATGGCCATGGGCATTTTTTGAATAACTTTTGATAGAAACGAGATAGAGATCTCCGACTTTCACCGTTGGAAAGAGCAGATGAAGACGCATCGAATTATATATATAGAAAGATTTTTCTAAGTACTTTCTTATAGGTTTTATATAAAACTTCAAGAAAAACAGCATGCTTCTCATGGTCACGATATCAATTTATTGATTTTCAGGAGTGCTCTAGAATGGGTGGGTGTGGGTGTGGGTGTGGGTGTGGGTGTGGGTGTGGGGCGTGGGTGTGGGGTGTGGGTGTGGGTGTGGGTGTGGGTGTGGGTGGGGTGTGGGTGTGGGTGGGGTGTGGGTTTGGTTGTCATGAATATGAACACCCACACCCTACACCCACATCCTCAATCGAATAGTATCATAATTGCAGAAGTTACAGGCTCGTCTGGTACCTGCCTAATGCAACTAACTATTCATTTTTAGGTAATATTTGATAATCAACCGAATTTATATGTAGCTGAAACCTTGAATAACCGAGTTCAGATGTTCGAACGCTCCTAAATGAGAGTTATGCCCATCCATAGTAATATGCTCAGAATTCAAATCTACGCATGATACATTTTACATAGACTCATTCTCTTCTGAAATGATGATTTCAGGAGGTTTGTAATTATAATGAATTCCAGATAAGGATAGTGCACAACAATAATCATTTATTTAACCCTTCCCCCCCGCCGTGCCGTCTGATTACATAATCATTCGAAGAAACGCTTTTAATGGATCAAAGTACAATGAAATAGGGCTGTACCGCTCACGCTCATGAGCGCTCATATGAGCGTGAGCGATTTTTCGCTGGCACTCATGCTCACCTGAGGGGCGGTCGCTCACGCTCATATGAGCGCACATGAGCGTGAGCGGTACAGCCCTAGTCATATGAGCGCACATGAGCGTGAGCGGTACAGCCCTAGTCATATGAGCGTGAGCATCAGCAAAAAAACGCTCACGCTCATATGAGCGCTCATGAGCGTGAGCGGTACAGCCCTACACTGAAGCATAACGTAACGCTCATTTTACTTATGAACTGTTTATTTTCAAAACAAGCAAAAAGTATACAATTGAAATAAGTTCTACTTTGTAAATTGTAGAGCTTTTCATGTTGCATCTTTTGATATAGTTTGGCATTTAATGAAGTCAATTAAATAATGAAGAAATTAAACGGAACACGCTGTCATTCATTATGCCCCACCCGTTATTTGATATTCGTTAAGCATGACTATTTCAATGCGTAATAAAAATATGTTCAAATTAGAGTAAACCGTTGAATTCTATTGTTTCCTTGATCGGAAACAAAGAGATAGGTTTCATTAGCGTCGAGAATGACGCCTACTGGCATATTCAATTGAGCTGCTCCATTACCCGACACACAATATGGATCACCTGCTATTGTAACACCTTGTGTAGCACCGACCGACCAACGTTGAATACGATGGTTATTCGTATCGGCAACATAGATACTACCTGTTTTCCTCGATACATAAATTGATCTGGGATATTTCAATTGACTTGATGCGTTACCTGCTCCATTTCCACCGGCAACAGTCACTCCTGCTGTCGCTACTACACTATTGTTGATGGGCAATTGCCACTTTTGAATGCGATGATTGTTATAGTCGGCAATGTAAAGATATTCACCACTGGCGTCAAAGTCCATTCTGAACGGTCCATTGAGTGATTGATTACCAGAACCGGCAGTTCCGTTGCCTGCAACGAGCATCGAATAAGTGCCATTCGGAAACCAGCGAAGAACTTGGTTTGCAAGGAAATCTGATGCATATATGTAGCCCTGTGCATCAATTTGAGTACCTACGCACCAGTCTAACCCACCAACAAATGTGCTACTCTGAGTCGCGTTCACGGCCCAGATTTGTATGCGATGATTGTTGGTATCGGATATGTACATGTTTCCAGTCGATGAATCAATAGAGACACTTGTTGGTAAATTTAATTGCGCCATTGTTGCTCCTGCTGTCTGGTCGCCAGCGACGGTCGTGCCAATGCGAGAACCATTTGAGAAAAGTTGCACGCGATAGTTGGACGTGTCTGCTACATACAAGTTGCCATTGGGTGTCATATAAATGTTCGAAGGACTATGGAGTCCCATGGTGTCGTTGCCGGGCGTTGAATTCCCATAGCCGGCAACAGTCACACCGAGAAGAGTCGATGGTACTGTAGAAAGCAAAAACAAGGAGCTATCAAAATTGAGACAACAAACTATAAATCACTTACGTCCACATTGAAAGAATTGAAGACAGGTTAGATTGCGGTCTGATCGGCATTCATTAGCCGAGTTGCATTGTGCACTGGTGAATCGCTGCAGTCGACATGTAAAACCATCGAAATACGATCGACCAAGACATTGGCAAGTGTTGTTGATGCACATAAGAAAACGATTGTCAGTACATTGAGAACATGACTGATTATACATTGTGGATAGATCAGCTGTCAAGATCATAGTGCCTACAACAGAATTCAACGACGATGACGCTGATGGAACGATTTCTCCAGTAGTTAAATCACTCTCGAAGAGACGACACTGTAGCGTGGATGCATCAACATCGAATGTACGACAATTTAATGTTGATTTGATACAAGCAACAGCACATTGAATTAGGGGTAAACCATATGATATCGTAATAGTATCAATCAACTGGACGACATCTATGGGTGAAAATTGCATACCCTTGTTGCTGAGTATGAATTGTGCATTCCAATCCTGTGAACAAACATTGCTGATGAGAACGACAAGAAGAAAGCATTGATACATGGCTAACTTTAAATTTCTGAAACAAAAGAAGAATTATTCATTCGATTCTTCTCTCCCCTAATGACTAATGGATTGGAAAAATCAATGTTCGTACGGTGAATACTGCCGATAGACGAGTATTTGGCGCACTTGTCGACTACAGTCTCCCTATACAGAGTATGAACATAGATTACAAAAGATTTTTCTTATTGGAAAGCGATGGTTACGTTACTTGATTGAACTCCACTTGTCATTGACTTTTATCTTGATGTGTTTTTTCGTGTCACAATCAATCTGTAATCTATACCACTATTTTCTTTTATTCTTGACCACGAACTCAACATTTTCTATGTAGACAGATATTTTGAAAAAGAGTGGTCTCCATTGGTGGATTTTCACTTCTTTCTACGTAGACGTACCAAGTAGATGAACACTAATTTTCACAGTCAGAGAATCCGTTAAAAACATTTCCGTCAGTCCCAATCTCTGCTTTTTTGTATCGATCCCAAGAAAACGCATAAACAGCTTTTTAAAAGGTTTTTACGCTATAAAAATCAATTGATTTTTGGTTTTACACTTTTTCAGCAAAGATGTGAAAATTCAAACGGAAAGTAGGACTAAGCGAATCCAGAAACTACTTGTATTGCACATGCTCCTCTTTGTTTTAAGCGAATGCCGTAGTTTCTCATAATGATGAGAAGTAATGGGAAAATCCAGTAGAGTCAGCGAACTTAATTCTACCGAAAAAAAAATATTTCTTAAACCTTTGATAACTCAAGTTTCTCACATCGTACAAAATTGAATTTTAGTTTCCGGAATAGAGTTAACATTTCTCTATCGATTGATTGAAAAGTAATCAGTTGGTACTTAGACGCAAGCGTGACAAAAGAGATAGAGCGAAAATAGCTTGACTTTTTGCTCTGTTCTTTGTTGTGCCAGTGAAGGTATTTTTATTCATAAACTCTACCGATGAGTCTACAATCGCGAAGTATAAGATGCTTCTCTATTTTTTGAATAACTTTTGACTGAAACATGATAGAGATCTGTGGTTTTCACCATTCAACTCCGTCCAATGAATTACCACTATCTTGCCACTTTTTCGAGTGATCACGCGTCAGTTTGCTGAAATCGATGCTGTCAAGAAAATTCCTAGAAGTCTCAAATTGAACAAACTCTAGAAATGTCGATTTTATGTAGATACAAAGAAAAGAGTTTTATCTATCGGTTAGTCTTGTTAAAAGTCTAAATCGAAAGAGAAACAGTTTCAGAATATTGTTTTCGAAAATCTCCGCCAACATTTCAAGTAACGGCCAATTTCTCACCAATCCAATTTTGATATACTTCTATCATCCTGAATCTTCTCTGCTGATTGGTGAAAACCGCAGAACTCTAGAATGTTTCTATCAAATTTTATTCGAAAAAGCACTGGAGCATATTATATTTTGCAATTGTAGACTCATCGACACACTTAGGAAAAAGAATACATCGACCTACAGAATAAAGAATAGAGCAAAACTCAATTAATGTTGATCTTATCGCTATTGTCACGCTTGTTTCTAAGCATCAAAAGATAATTTTTGAATCAATAGATAGAGAAATATTAACTCTACTCCGAACACTTGAGTTATCAAAGGTTTATGAAAGATTTTTTTCGGCAGAATTAGGCTTGCTGCCTCTACTTCTAGAGGTATTTTGTTCCTTTTAGAGCTACTGTAAATAGCGGAGAAAAAATTACAGAATGTTTTCTTCAATGAAATATCAGCATCAGAATCGACCGTTTTTTTGTTATATTTTATGATTACTAGGACGAAAATAAATTGTCTGTTGATTGCCATTCAAAATAACTACTGTTTTCTTGGAACACAAGAAGCGAAATACTGAGACGACATTCTTAGAAACTATAACTCATTAAAACGATGTTTTTCAAGACAAGAAAGACAACCAAATTTAATTAAAATTGCCGTTAATACACTTAGATTGTTGTATCTACCTTTTGGGAAGAAAACTGAAGAATATATGGATCTTTATTATAAAAACAATTCCGAGAATAGAGCAAAAAATAAATGACACGTTGTTTCTCTAGTAAGTGCAGCTTGAAATTTATAGCAAGAGAGTGGAATTCACTCTCTTCTGTCTTCCACAAACCATGATAGATGTAAAGATTATTTTGACTGTTATTGCACCGATCCCATTATCTTTTCATATGTTAATTGCACAGGAATTGAGCTAAAATTTTTGTCTATTAAGAGTCACTAAAGACCATGAAATG